CGTGTTTTTCAGATACGATGTAACATTAAGTCGAGTAAATGGCTAAATTTCAGACAGCATCAGCATACACTAATACATTAAGGACAGTTTTTATTAAAGAAAAGCCAATACATTTCTGGTCGAGAATGTGAATATGATTTCGGTAGGATCCAGCTGATATTTTTCGCTGTAAATCGTTTAAATTCAAACAGCTGATAAATTTAGCAGCGGTGGCAGTGACACTGGCTGTCCCTATTTCGAAGATATATTTTAGCCGACACAGCTGGATTTTCGCTCCGGCGATTAATTCTTTTCCGAAGGTAGGATGAAAAAGACAGACACACGGCGTCGTCCGTCGACGTCATCGGCGCGGGGGAGGGGAGTTCGCAGGTGTTCCTCGCGCTGCGATCGGATATTTCGCCTGATTGCGACGATAATTCGCCAGGTGAGAGATAAGCACGGTGCTCCGCCCGAGGAGGAGGAAACTCGCGCGGGAGAGAAACAAAGAGGACGTACGTCGCGGAAAAGGGGCTCGGCGCGTTCTGTTCTCAGCCCGCGCGTATATTAAAGGAGATACTTAAAATGTAAATATTATTGACGCGATATCCCGCGCGTGTAAGTCATGTCGTATATATATTACCGGATATATAAGCCGGCAGGGCTGAAACTTTAGTGCCGGATATAACTTTCCGCCGTGAATAAATCTCGGTCCCGTCGTAACACTCGCTCGCGTAACACGTTACGCTGGAAATTTTCCATCTACTTACGTCCGAGGAAGGGAGAGAGAGAGAGAGAGAAAGCGAATAAGCGAGGAAACGAGGATGAAAGAGAGAGAGAGAGAGGGGGGGGGGGGGGGCGCGCGATCGGCCGAGAACAGCGCACGCCGCGTACGGTCGCCTACCTAATTTTCTTTATTTCTCCCTTTAGGCGAATTTTGTAAAATCACGCGACCATGCTGTAATGGCCCCTATGAGTGAGTGAATAAACGAGCGGGTGAGAGAGAGAGAGAGAGGGAGAGAGAAAGCGAACAGAGAGCGAACGAGCCTTACTGCTTCGTCTACGGTGGCTTCGGGCTGCGCGTAATGTGATCTCTCCTGGTCGCGCGCGGCTCGCTCGTTAGCGATCGATAATTATAAATAATTAGTGAGGCTAGGCGTGTCTCTTTGGCGGCGGTAGCTCTGCAAGAGCGAGCGAGGGACCGGCCGAGCGTAGATGCGCTTTATCTTGGAAAAAAAGCGCCGTGTGCGGGGAGCATTAACGATCCCCACGTGCCGTGAGGCTACTCGTTTTTCAGCATCGGGCCGACCCCGCTTGAAAGTACGTTTCCATTATCTTGCTTGTTACTCGCGCTGTAACTCCAGCCGGAGCACGGCCTCGCCGGCGGTTTCTCGCGCGCGTAATACGCGCGTAGCCGAGCCGAGCGTCGCCCGGTTTTGCCGAGAGAGGTGCAATGTACCTCTCTCTCTCTCTTTCTCTCCAACGTCCGTCCGTCCGTCCGCCCAGCCGCCGGGAGCTTTCCATTCTCGCGCTCCATCGAGTATTCAAAGCAACCTATCCGGGAGTTCCATTATAGGTCCCGGTGCATGTGTATTGCAGCGTATCTTACAACTTCAATACCGCGGCGCAACACTTGTTCCTGACGGGCTTTAGGGCCCTCGTTCGTATTCCCGGCCGCGTCTCCGATCGTCCCCCCCCCCCCCNAAGTCTAATGTCGCAGGAAAAGGAATGTTTTCTAACACGCGCGCGGTGTCGCATCGATCACAACTCGATTCGATCTCGCCGAGCCGCTCCTGTTCTCCTCCTCCTTCTTCTCGTCTCCGTTCCGGAGCGATCGCTCGACGATAATTTAATAATTCGCGACTCCCGACCACTCTCGGCCGCCGAGCCGGCGTTGGAATTATGTAACGCCCCGGTCTCTATAGCTGCTTCCTCCTGAGATATTTATACGCCGCGTTCGGTCGCGATAAAAGGACGCCGGTGGATCATTAATTCATCCTTAATTGCGCACGGGCTTCTTTCGCCGAAGCTAACGATCGAACATGCGCACGACCCGAAGCAGAACCGGCGGAGCGAGCCCGGAAGATGCCCTCCTTGTTCCAATGTGTCCCGACTGGAGGAATACTCGTTTGGAGATCAAGCCGGGCTGTTGGAAATTGGGACTTGACTAAATTACAGGGTAATGTGAGCTGTGACTAGTTGTTTCATCGATCCCGATTTCTAACGTTTCTTCTCACCATCGAATCTCAACTTCTACTTGTTTCATCGAATTTCTCGTTCGCGTGTTCATTTATTTCGTCGAATTCTAATTTTCTTCTTTGTTCCCTTCATCGAATCTGAATTTTTTTATAGTTGTTTCATCGAATTTTAAATTGTAATCTTTGTTTCCTCTATGAGTCCTAGTTTCTAATAATTGTTTCTTCGCCGAATCCTAATTTCTGACGTTTCTTTCGTCCACCTTTTCACTTTTCCAGTGTTTGCTTCTTTCGCCAAATTCGAATTTCTGATTTGTTTGTTTAATCGAATTCTAATTTCCAATCGAACTTTCAACATTAAACCGACACGGGCTTAACACGATGATTTCTCCTGATAGAACGAGACATTTTTCCGACTTACCATTTCGGGAGACGATAGAGCTCGATCGCGAGACGCCGAGCGTGCGAACGCACTCGAACGCGCACCGGATGCCGGCAGTTACTCCTCTCGCCTCGGAGTTTCGCGGAACAGCCATGCTTGAAATTAATATCGCTAGTGCCGGGAAAAATAATTTCACCTCCGGCCAAGGTGGGAGGTAGTCAGGGAGAGAGAGAGAGAGGGAGGGAGGTCTCTCTCCGTGTGTACCTCTGTGTGTGTGAATAATGCATGAAGCGTGACGCGAAATCTGTGGACGCGATGTTGCAGTTGCAGCTGCAGCATATGGAGCGTACTTACACTGGCCGTGCGTGTGTCCCCTCGGGTACGACGATGACGGCGGCTGCCTCTCGTAGTGCAATGCGATACAATTGCAGCTGCGGCGCGCCGGTAGACGACGATTCCGCCGCCCTCGACCTCTTTCCCGAAAACGATCGCGTTCGTTAATAGCGGCCCGGCGCAATTAAAATTTCACGCCCGGTGGCATAGTAATGTTGCCGCTATTCGTCGGCGAGCCGTGTATAGCCGGAATGATGCGGATTATCCGCGGGTATCGCGCGACTAATCGCCGACGGTATTGCTCGGATCGTTCTCGAACGACTTTATTCCGGCCACTTCGGCATTCAGGGTACACGATTCGTTGGGAACGCGAAAGCGGCGCCCGAGTCGAAATTTTGCGATGCCGCAGAGAAAAACATCTCTTTGAAATTTCTTTGGATTGAATATTTCTCTTTAATTAAAATTCGTCTTTTGGAGCGGAGCAAACGGGCGTTTGATTGAACAAATAGGATTGTGTGACTTCTCGAATAATAAATATCTTTGCGTCAAATAACACGTTTCTTTCGTATTTTCATTCGGACATTACAATTGTTGTCACGACCAATAAATTGTTTGAAAGAAGTAGCATGTTGCTTGAGAAATATTATGGAACTTCTTTATTTCAGTGGAACAATATTTAATATATAATGAAATAATTTTTTACTGAGAACCAAATATTTCATTCTCTCTAAATAATATTGCTTTTTATATCAAACAACATGGTTTATTCTGGTGAGGCAATAATGTTTTCGTTTAAACAAAGTGGTAGTAAATTATGTTGTTTACGTTAAACAGATCCAAGTCAAGCAAATACGTGTAGTAAATAAAAAGAAAAACGTTTTCTTTGTATATATTTCAACGCTCTTAACCCTGAGAGCAGCATCCGCGATTTTGAGACTAAAGTAACATCGTAGATCTCTCAGGCTTGCATCACGAAAAGAATGGTAGACATCGTAGTTTTTTGCATTTTTATAAATCATTACATTTCTAAGTTTATTGCCAATTTTTAATTGTTGTCCTCGTAGACTGGTTGCCGTCTAGAAATCAATTATTTCACTGAATCATACCGATAATGGCAAATATAATTAAGGTCTATATGGGCCTTTCTTTAACTCTACGGGTCAATGTTTTGCCCCTCTATACTAGCGTGCTAAAAATATTTCCCACTCTGAGAAGCCACCAGATGTTAGCCCATCAGCGAATCTTCTGATTTATAAAGGTTCTTGTTAGGGGCAGCTTTCGTAAAGCATTTCTCTTCGTTTACAAGCCCGATGAGAAAAATACTCGGTCAATCGCCGGGTGAAAAAGCGCCTAGGCTCGTAACTAAGAGAGTCTACCATATCACCCTCGGCGTGGTGAGGAGCCAGAGGAGTTTACTTCTTTTTATTCTCCGTCGGTAAATTTACCTCGGCAGTTAATTCCATTGTAGTGTCCCGGCTACAATACATTTACGCGATAACGGCTGGCGTTGTTTTCGTTGGACCTCCTTGCATGAGGCGCAAGATAAACTTATCGATGAGGCGACACAACGGCGCAATTGCATTGAAAAAGAAAGACAGAATATGTGTGTGTGTGTGTGTGTGTGTATCTGACGGTGAGATGGAGAGCGAACAACGAACGTAACTAGCGACATAAGAATTCTAGACTGAGTATGCACTGTTGATTTAGGGTACCAATTTGCAATAAGAGGACAATTACGGTACTTCGGGTCATCTGGCTCGACTAGCCAGCATTTGTAATATATGTAAGGCAAAGGTATCGATGTCTTCACATGTACCTAACTCCGAAAATTCCTATTATTTTTAGTTTCTTAATATAAATATTTAAACGCTCAATATATATAAAGTTTTAAATGCACCCGAGGAATCGGTGACGGAGATACCCGAAGCACGAGTAACCTTCGCTGATCAGACCTTTCCCCCGTAGAGTTCCCCGTCCAGATGCATTCACGTCGCACGGGCGAACGCGGAGCGGCGGTCCCGCGAAAACATCGTCGCGGCCGCTCCGCTTCGCCTTGACATTTTCGGAGTGTCTGCGGACGATTAACACGGATTGCTCTGTTCTGCCCTGCTCAGGAGATCGACGCGCGCCTGTAACCGCCCGGCGACCATCACGATGCCAGGAACGTGCTTGATGACCGATGCGGTCAGGGCCGCGGATAGTTAGTGATGAGGAGGAGCGAGTTATCGGCGTGCCGACGGCCCGGGTCACCAGTAACATGCCAGTCCTTGGTGCCAGCAGCGCCGAGCCGACTCCACTTCGAGGACTTCTCGTCGCCGCCGCTGCCTTCGTCCTGCTCTCCTTGCCGCGTGTCTGCCGCAGCACGGATCCAGGTGAGAGTCCCCGAAGCGCACCGAGCCGAACTCCCGGACGCGCGTCGTGCGAGCAAGTTTTATGACTTCCGAAAAGTGTCTTTCTTCCTATCTCCCTCGCTCTCTCCTCGAGTCGCTTAAACTTTTGTCAGTCTCCTACAACCTGCCACTTTTGTCCCAGCGCGCCGCCGTCGTCGCTCGACGACGAGTCGAAAGGACGATTGAAAAATCTTATAGGAGGCGTCCCGCGGAGACAGCGAGTTTCCCGCGGCGAAATGGCTCTTGGAACGGGTATGAGCGCGAGACCGAATGTATTCTGGTTCCTCGAGAATCGAGCTTTCCTGGAGCCTTCGCGCGCGCGGAAATTAATTTGAGAATTAGTCCGGGCCTTCGATCGATGCGGTAAGTCTTCGGCCTTTTGCTCTTAGTAATGTTATCTCTCCGACAATAGGCGTTACCTGCACTGCCGGTCCGCAGTTCTTATACAAAATCCATTAAAGAATTACTAAACATTTTTGAAATTTCTCTAGTTACTATATATCTAGTTTCCTAATTACTATTAGCAATTACTATTTATAATTAGGAAATTACATATATAATAACTAGAGAAACTTAGAAGAATCATTTCCACACATATATTAATTTATTATCATTTTTTCAAGTATATATAATAATTTATTGTACGCTATATATAGAATATTAATATGCAGTATCAAAATATTTTATGGAAAATATGAGTTAAATAAAGTGTTTCACTCATCTTAAAGACTGAATGTTCCTTTTCAATTTTATATAAAAATTTATTTACTTCTGTAATTTTTTTCTAAATTACTTTTTTTCCAAAATTATCCGAATAATTTACCATAATTTACCGAACAAGTTACCGTTAAATTGCATTATTTTTATTTCTACATACGAGTGTCAAGCCGAATGTCTTATCAGGAAACTTTCTTTCCTATCTTAGAAAAATCGAAACGTGTGATTTTTTTAATTTCACGTGCAAGGTGTAATTTTTGCAATTGTTTCAGTCATTTGTTTTGATTAAAATCCTTAAGCATGATTTCGTATTACTTGCGACCGCGTTAAAGCTCCTCGCAAATCGCAATACAATTTCATGTATGTTATGCGTGACTTAACTGAAAAATTCTGACTTAACTCTAAATTCATATTCGTATCTCCGTAAAGCAAGTTTTAGGTAATCGGTAATTTTTTTTTATACAAACGTCGACTATAGTTAACTGTGCTCGACACTCGTCCACTTCTCACATTTCTTTATTTCGTTACTGATAAAACGATTCGTGTCTGCATATAATCTTTCGTTTTTTTACCAGCAGCAAGATTTTCAAACATATCAACGTATAAATATTTTATCAGAAGACGTGATACACGAAAATGCTTCGCACATATCCATGTAGGAATATACGTTCTATAAGTACATGATACTGACGCGGTATTTGCTGGTACCGAAAAGCGAATGTCATGTTTCGGTGCTGGTCCGGTACTATCAAAGCAGCACACAATATTTATAAAATATTTTAAAAATATAGACACTAAATGTTCTGTAATATTCAAATGTCCGAGAAATTCAGGTAAGGGGGAAAGATTATGATAAATATCCCAGCGAGAAGTGACTTATCGAATCGACGTCGATTTGACGTGATTTCGATTATTTCGATGTCGATTTGACGTCAATTTGACGTCGATTTGATGTCCATTTCTCGCTGAGATTGAACACTGACGAAGTGCCAATTCAATACTGAAATACGGACTTCACGTTACGATACCAATGTTTTAAATCGGAAAACGGGAAGCTGGTTACTAACGTGCGAGTTGAAATTCCAGTTCTACATTAAGTTTATTTAGTTCTACATAAAGTCTTCAAAAATCTTCTATTGTGTTCCCTTCAGCGCTACAAAATGAAAATTATCCTCATTTTCTCCGCTTGAAGGCTCAATGTGGAATTTAAAATTCCCTCCCGGGAGGTCTGGATTCCCTTTGTAGCATCAAAGCGGCGTTATTAGTGTTCCTTTGATGCTACGAACGAGAAGTTATTTTTTCCCCACTTGAAGACTCAACGTTGATCTAAATGGACTTAATATCGGTCGATACGGGATGAAAATTTCGACTCGCCATTAGCAAATTTCGACACGGACAACTGCTCACGCGACGGTCGCCGGCGCGACTCCACGTGGTACCTGTCGTACCGAGAAAGGTCGGCGCTGCTTTCAGACTCGACGCGACGATCAGACGCGTTCGAGTAACGCGAACATTTCAGAATATTTCCGCGCGTTCACGCGAGAATAACAATTCGGCTGTCCTCCGGCGAAACGGAGGCGAAATTCCTTGCGACGTTCGCCGCTGATGAAAGCATTCACGAGCGAGTTATCTCGAGCGAGGATCCTCCGCGAGGCGCGACGACCACCGAGAGAGAAGAGTCGGAGGGGGCCGGGGAGAGGGTGGAGGATGTCGTGCGTGCTAATTCTTTTTTTTCTCTCCCTCGCCGGCATACAGCGCGGCGACGTCGTATCGTCTAACACACACCTGGCCTCTCCTCACCGCGGCATTGTGCCCTCGTAAATGAAATGTCAGCCGCACGATGAATTAACAATACTATCTAATAGCTGCTCAGACGCAGACGAGCGAGCGGTCCCGCGCATTGTGCCGATTCGTTCTGGCGTGTCGTGCCGCGCCCGCGCGCTAACTCTCAGCCCCGCTCCCGGCTCTCCTTGTTTACCGCTCATCCGTTATGTTTTTATGCAAATTAATTGTTGCCCGTGGAGAAAGGCGCGCTGACATTACCGTTAAACGACGAGATGCGGACGGATACCGCGGATGAAGCGGAAATGCGCCCACCTACCTTCTGTTTCTATCTTTTTCAGCGGCTTTGCGGCTCGCGATATAACGTCGAATCCGGTCTCGTTTAATTTATTTACGCCAACGTCGGAACGATTCGCGATTAAAGAGCGAATTCTCCCGACGACGTCTCCGGCGTATCGGGAAAATGGCGAGAGTGGTGGCGCGAATTCGGACGGAAAACGGAAAGAGAAGCATTCCCCGTGGCGCTACCAGTCGTAAAGTCGACGTCATGTATGCCGCGTTATTACCTGGACAGAAGGAAAAATTGCTGCGGACCGTCGGGGACCGAATAAAACGTGTTGAATTTAACAGAAAATTTTCTAGTGTGAAGCAAACAACCGCTTATAAATAAATATTATATCGCGTATAATCAACTATATTTCCGCTCGTAGTAAATTTTGGTCGAGGAATATTTGAGCGAGCGTTTTACTTGTATCAAATAAATATTACTCAATCGGTGGCGCCTTTTCCAGCGTCACGTGACTCTAACTATAGAAATTCGTCAAATATTATTGGATCGTCGTTAGACCTCGCGACGGTTTCACAATTTCAACTCGTATCACGTGTGTGCGTGCACGCGCGGCACACATTTCTTCGACATTCGTATGTTAATCGGCGATAGATATCTCCGATGGAAATAATTAATGCTTCCCTAAATATTAATTATTAATTATTGACTGTCGTTACGCGCGCCAGTCCGCTCGCTCGCTCGCTCGTTCGACACGCTTAAGCTGCACGGAATCGGACTGTCAGTCATGTCACAAATCATTGGAATCGTTCATTATCCCGCGCGTTGCGCGAAAACGCATCGCGCGTCTAGGATATCCCAATACGTCAGCTTGACTTATTGCTTTGGGACATAACACTAAAGCTCGGGTTCATAGCCGTTATCGTCGCGCATATTGGATATTCAATGCGCGCGATACGCGCGCATCCGCCCGCACGCGGCAGGGAAAGCGCGGCCGTGCGCTGACGGCTCTGCGAAGTGAGAGGGGAGGAACGGGGTTAAAATTCGCGGCGCGAATAGCCGCGAGAAAAAAAAAAGTGTGACTTTTTCACGCGGCGATTAATATTCCGGATTTTATGGGCGGGATAACGGGCGCGGGGGAACATTATCTCGGTATCGAAAAACGCGATGCGAATCATCATCCGGCGGATTGGATTTTTCGAGTTTCGTAACGCCCGAAATCCTCTCCCTCTCTCTGTCGCTCTCGCGAGAGCGAGGGAAAAATAATTTTGAGAAATAGCGAATGTTATGCTGTGTAGTAGACGAATGTACAGGGTGCTTCTTAAGTGTTCTAGCAGAAAAATATTTGGTAACTATCTGGAATTATCATAACTATAAACTATGGTAGAAGAATTATAGTCAGAAGAACTTATTTTTTTTACTAAGTATTGCTATATACACAGTGAAAAATTGCGTGTTACTTCAAGACGTGGGGAGTGTGTTGAAAAGTACATAAATATAATGTTAAACTAACACATTTACCTTGTCGACAATATGTTCACAAACACGTATTTGTGTGCTTTCTAACGCTACTTTTCAAAACATTCCCGATGTTAAAGTAACAAAACATTTCAGTGAACCGTTTTTAACCACCGCATTTTTTACTGTGCAGTACCAGTGATACAATAACGTGCACGATGTTGCTACTATTTTATCAATTATAACCAAAAAAGGTTGCAGTTGAGGCCGAAAATAATTATACTTGCTATCAACGCACTGTCCAACATTGTAGAAATTGATCTTGAAAGTAATTAAAATACACTCAAGTCACAACTTGATATCACTTAAAAAACGCCCTAAACATTCACATATCCGCAGCATAAAATTCGCGGTCTCTCTCTGAATTGTTTTTCTCCGTGCGTTCCGAAAGCGTCGTTCGTTTCGCGACGTTTTACGCGCACTCGGCGCACGACGACGACGATTGTTCGGCGGCGGCGAATTATTTCGTATAATTTTCGGACGCGAAACATCGGTGGCTCGTCGTCGGAGCCCGGCTAAATCCCGATTAGTTCGATAATTACAGCACAGTTCATCTCGTTTGCAGTATGTCGCGCTAACGGCTGCGGCATAAAGGCGAATACTGCCTGCAAATACGATCGAAGTTGCGCGGCTGGGATATGGGGGCTATAACGTTTATTAGAGGATGATTTCGTACACACTCACGAAGACACACACACAGGCATATACGAGCGCGCGAGTATGGGCGAGCGGGCGGGCGTGCACCGTGGAAACGTAACGCTATTTCTCCTCAGCTTTACTTCCAAAGTCCGTTAGCGCGCGTTATCTGATCGCCGAATTTCACACCGCTCGTCCCGGTCAGCATTGTTGCTATTTACGGACAAGCCGCTCGGCCGTTGTTGTACTTATGCGCGTTAATTAATACGGAGACGCATTAACGGAGAGAGTCGGGTCGAAAGCCCGCGGTAACGTCGATGATAATCTCGCGCGCTCCGTACGCCGAGAGAAAGGTGTAATTAATTTCGCTAAAACAGTGTGATTTATCTCTCTAGCCTGTAGTCATGTTCGGCGTCCTTTTGTTCGAATGAAAGAGTAGCGGTGGCGATATGCATAGAAGCTTGTTATCATAGGAAGTAATTATCTAACTCCGGCTCTACAAAGTGACTCGTCTATCGAGCCATTGAGATTATCGACGATTTCACGGACTTTTACAAGTCTCTAATATTTATATATAATTTACATATAATAATTCCATTAAATTTATATATTAAATCTTACAATTATTTTACAATTATCAATGACAGCGACGGCGTTGCAATTCCATTTCTTGTCGGTGTGCATTTCGTCCGAAGGACGTTGTAAAAAGTGTAATAAAGTGTAATAAGGGGAAGAGAGAGAGGGAGAAAGAGAGAGGGGAGGGATGGAGGGAGAGTGCGAGGCACGCGAGGGGCCCGTTATGAAAGTATGCAAAGGACCCCCGGTCGATTTGTAGCGCACTAGAAAAGTCATAACTTTCATTTGTGAAATTTTTTAATAAAACGCGCTAAAACACGACACGGCGCAAACTCTGCCGCTAAATGGACCCCTCGTTAAATGAGTCACGTAACGTTGTCATTTTACAATACGTTTTAGCTGGGGCGACGGGAACCAGAGGGATTGGAAAAAAGCATTCGCGCTGCAAAATGTAGTTTTGTAATATTTATCTTCTTGATCTCCAGCAGCCATTTCGTCGCGCGCGCGCACTTTCGCAATAACGAGCTCGCGCATTGACAACGCTGCGAATTCATATTTTTTTATATCGGAATAAGCCGGAACGAATGGAAAAAACGGGGCAAAAATTAGGGGGAGGGAGAGAGAGAGAGAGAGAAGGAAAGAAGAGGGAGAGAGCAGGAGGTACCGTTCGACAAATTTATTAAAAGATTCGATGGTCTTTTTCTCAATCTGTCGGTAAACCGTTAAGTGTTTTCGTCTTCGTATTCTTCATCTTTTACACCTTGTACCTGGTGCATCTTCGGCCACATATATAATAATATATATAAATACCAATAACAGCACGCATATGGTTTTAACCACAAAAATAACACGCATATAAAGTTATCGTCACCACGGTAACATTCGCTAGAAAAATATTTCTCCCGACTATAATTCTATCATTGTGATAATTATATAATTATAAATACTTTTCCTTCATACTCATATTTAGACGCCTCTATCAGATGACCGGTTAAAGAGATAACGAATTCGCGAACTTTCGGCGACCCCGGAAACAAGCCTCCCCCCTCCCCTTTTTTCTCTCTCTCGCGAGATGTAATAATGTTCGCCTTTGACGTATCGAAGGCGCGCAGAGACGGTCTTTGGTCCGCGACGAGTCGCCGACTCGCACACGCGCGCACACTCGTCGAACGAGACGCGGCATATACAGTTCCGCCACACAATGGACCGCCGACGGGTGAAACGTAGGGGACAGTTACAAACACAAACGAAGTTTTGCGTCCCGCGGTAATGCCCGGTTCATGGAGGACCGCCGGCCCCGGTAGTGGCTCCGGAGGCCGGGCTAATCCCACGTCCGCTGCATTCCGCAGTTTTGAAACTTTCCGTCGTAACTGCAGCACCGTAGTTTAAGCGCGCGGGGCCGTTCGCCGGCTCTCGCTGCGGAATACGAGGGAATTTATCACAGGCCGCGTCGCAACAGCGCCGACATTGTCATATCGGCGGCGTCGGTCGATACCGCCGGTGTCTATCGATCTTCGCTCGGCGCGAAGGCATTTCGTGTATTACGCGGGGAGAAAGACAAAAAAGAAGGGAAATGAGGGGGAAACGCGGTCGCGTCGTTCCGGGACGCGAATGTCGTCCGATCTGAGCCGCGAGATGCTCGAAACAATTTTGAGACACCGCGTGGCGAAGAGGCGGGGAGGCTCGAAATAGAGCGGCCGAAAAGGTGTAAACCACGTTACAGGTGTGTAAATGAAGTACCGGCGAACCCGGGAAGCTATTTCTAGCTTTCTTGGCGTTCTGGGGTTAGTTTGAGGCGAAGCTTCGAGGGTAATTCGACAGGATGAATCGTGAGCGAATGTCTCTGGGACTATGTGGAATATATCAAGTAGTTGAAACGTTAAGTATGTGAAATATTTTAAACGAAAGTTTTCTGATATTTAATGTACTTGACGGCTTGATGTACATTTCAATTGCTTAAAGTGTCATATGGTTGTGTTAAAGGTGTGTTGAAAAATGATATATTTGGAAAGCGCAGACAAACACGTAACTGTGAAGAGCACGAGGCAGCGTAAAATTCTTGCCTGAAATATTGATTTTTCATTTACCCCGCGATTTCGGAGATACCCGTTCATTTTCAATTTTACCGAATTCTCCTCGAGGGAGGTGAATCTTTTATAGGGTTGTTCCAACCCCTAAACGTGCGGTCTGCTGAGGCTCTTCAAATATCCAATAGGCATTCTATAAAAAATTCTTTGAGAACTAATTGAGATTCACACAGTGAAAAATTGTGTGCTAAATTTAACGCATTTCACATGTCCCATTCAAACGGTCCGTCGAAATTTTTGCGTTGATTTAACGTAAGGTGAATATTTTAAGAAGTAATACAAGTAGTATTAAGTAGTATTAATGGAATTTATTTTGTTAAATTTAATGAAATAATCCTCTAATTGTTTCGAACCACGCATCTCGCGCGACTACCTCGTCTCTTCTCTATCCGTGCTTCTTCCGCGTGCGTTTCAACCGAGATGGAAAACATCCGCACGCGTCTACGTCGAAACAATGCCGGACGTTTCGACGGATATCGCATTTTTGCATGGCCGCATATCGGCGTTCGTAACGACGAAGTAGCGCGAGACAAAAGAATTTGTCATATTTGCTGACAGGCGCTTCGCGGAATCAAGTCGTTCCCGTCGATATCTCGAATATATTGTCGATCATTAAAAAACCATCGGTATCGGCGGGCGACGAGAAAAGAGGAGGAGACGTGGAAATGCGAATGCGTGTTCGAGTGCCGCGATTTTAAAATCATCTCTCTTGCGCACCCAGCGGAATACGAAGTTGCGTGCTTGCGATGGTCGACGGGAATTTTCTCGGCGCGTAACGTTCGCTCATCGTTAACGGAATCGTCGCGAGAACGAGATGGTCGGGGCGAAACTGAATCGCGAAAACCCGCGATCTTCGATCGCAGGTGGAAGGGAAAGGGTGTTATTATATCCACAGAATTGGTGAACTGTAGCACCATAATTTTGGAGAATAAATCTTCTTGACTGAATAATTATATTATTAATTAATTTAGGATAATAATTATTGAATATTATTTGGTAAACTAATACGTTGTTACAATCACTCGAGTGTTAATTTCAATAGAAGAACAGCACAGATCGACGTACTATTTTGTTTTTGGAGTCTAAAACCCTATTCAAGGTGTAAAGTCTCTCTCTCTCTCTCTCTCTAATATTGCTATTGAATTCGGAAGATTTACTCCTATCACGGCGCTGCCGAGTAATTTTAGTGATAAATAACAGCACTTTTTTATCGTGTAGGTAAAAATGCGGAAACGAGGAATTAATTAACGTTCGACGATCTGCTCGAGCGAAATTGGCGATGGAACGTCTTCGCTTCGAAATAACCCCCCGTTATTCTCTCTCTCTCTCTCTCTCTGTCTGTCTATCTGTCTCTTAAAATCTCTCTATCTCTCTGCCTCTGCCGGTGAGAATCTTCGCTCCGACGTTGCGCGAGCGCGCGTTAACGAAATGAAGATTGATATTGAATTTTGCCTAACTCCATCGCGCGAATTGTTTCCAGGACAATGCACCGCGGCGTTGGGTATGGAGAGCGGAGAAATTCCCGATGAAGACATCACGGCGAGTTCTATGTACGATCCCAGCCTCGGACCGAAACATGCCAGGTAGGAGAACAATCGTATCGCCGCGCCAGGCTGCCATCGTCAAACGCAGCGGCGACTGGCGGCGGCTATTTCGGTGTGTCTCCGGGAAACGAATTTCCGACTTGAGCGAGCGTGTCCTTGGCTCGAACGTCGTCGTCATCGTCGTTGTCGTTTGACGTGATTTCTTAATCGCGATCTCTCATCGTCACTCTCACTAAGTCGATTCAATGAAAATGTCACCATTTGAATCAGTGAAACAGTAAAGTAGATTAGGGAGAATTGGGAAAATGTTGATATTTTGTCTTCTGTAGCTTTTATTTTTCCAAATTTCGCGACAAAAATTTAGACTGATCTGTTACTCTACTGAGGAAATTCAAGTTCATTCGTCGAGTTTGAATGGACTATCGTAAAAATTGAGAATGTAATTAAATAAATTGCAAGGTCGAATATTTCCCCCAAATCTCCCCCGTATCAAGGAGAGATGGAACAAATGGTAAGGGAATTGGGGTAAAATAATAAAAACAACTATTAATGCATTTATTGAAATATTAAATAAAAATTATTTATTAATTGCCTATTATAAAAAAGGCAGTAAAATAAGTGTTTTGTGGAAAAATGATAATAATATTAAGACTGATAATAATAGACATTTATGAAGTTTGTAAAGACGTCTCAAGAAAGGATTAGGACGCTTTAAATCTCCCTGATTGACTTCTTTATATTAAAACGGTTGCCAGAATTTAGGTTTAACTTTGAGATTAGAACATACCTGTATTGTAAAGCTTAAGAACTGTATTAGAATGAATTGAGTATAATTCTTATGAAATTCAACCACAAAAAGATGTCATAAATATTATAGTAAGAAAATAATCACTTTCGCTAATAAAAAAATATCGTTTTACTTACCTTAATTAAAAATTATAATGTTTACAACTTGGTAAAAGCTAAGTTTTCATACATGTCATATAGAGACACATCAGCTGTGTTTCAGTCAAAAGTATATTACCAATCGAAAGAAAGAAATATATTAACACTGTCTTAATTCTTCTCCGGCACCAATCCCCTTTTTCCCTATTCTATCGATAATCAGTGAATATTTATTAATTTCTAGTGAAAAACACTTCTATTTAGCTCTTATTTAACACTTCATTGATTTTGGCCGGTTTTGTCCACCACTTCCCTCCTGCTTCCCCCCCCCCCCCCCCNCCCCGTTACTTTAAATTTCGATCGTTGGAAAGATCTAAAAAAAATAGTATCAATTTCGCGAGATATTTTTCATACGGTTATCAGTGCGCATAAACGCGATATCGAGTTTCTCCCGTGTTACGCGTATTTTTTTACCGTGATGCGTTGCCATTGTTATTATTACACACACATACACACAAGGGCACACACATCGATGCACCTCGAAAGTGCTCGGGTGCATTTTCATCGAATTTGGAGTTTCGAAACGGCCCGTCCGCGAAAATATAGAACACGCCGTCGCCGTGGCCGCAGCTCGTTGCGGGCGCAACACGGCCAGCCATTGCGTCGGTTCTTACTTAATTATAAAACTGCACTTTACGTCGACCTCCAAGTGAAACGTTACGCGCAGTACGCGCGTCTCGGATTCTGCTCGAGTGAAATTAGGTAATTGCGATTCGACTCACACCGCGATATCGAAATTCTCCGGTCTGGCAGTGTAAATCGCGTGACACGGAGGAATGTCTCGCGCGAATGGCATTAGCGACGGGGACCCCCCGTGCTACTCGGCCCGTTTTCTTTCTTATTGCAACGCCGAGATTAAAATTGCCGGGCAACGCGGCGCGTTCGCGTTCCGCGCGCCTTGAGGTGTATTGAAATTTTAAGTAACGCGCGGCCTCGTAAGAGAAGCCGGCGTTCCCGTGAAACACGGCCTTATCGGCCGCGCGAATTCATCGCGGTCACGAGGAACCACTGAACTCTATGCTGTATTGGAATATCAGGTGCTGTAGGAGGAATCGGGCAAAATGAGAGAGAAGTAGGGTTAACCGGGGTAATGGCGGTCACCTAAGCGGAAACTCCCATAAAACTGTTAAGAAATGTCGGATCCAGGATCTGCCTGGTGCAATGAATACTTACGGGTGTTTGTTATAATATGGATTGGCGCAAAAAATTTCATAAAAATATGCATCAGAGGGACCAACGAAAAAGCGAGAAATGAGATTTTGACCGGGATCGCTCCGACCTCGGGGTAATGCCGGTCAGCGATGTTTACAGCGTATGAAACGAGAGAAGACACAGATTTCACGGGAAATCGAATATATTTATTGAAGAAAAAATGTGACAAAAGTTTTGCATGTAATATCTAGAAAAAATACTCAATTGTTTGTTGACTTGCATTCACTGCAATGATATTCATCGGGGATATCCCAATCAGTGCAATTCTTATGCGTTCAAAGTCCGCGAAACACGCAGCGAAATCACATTTCATCAGCTCTCCCAAATTCTCCACAAAGTGAACGTAACTCTTAATCCCAGTCAGTAATTCAATCCCAGCACCGACTGACTGGCATTTTATCAAAAATTACATGTTTTCACAAATTAGATTAGTTAGATTAACCACGTTGTAACGATTCATCAATTCAGGAAACCAATCCTCCTACCATATATTGGGAGGTTTGAGTGACGTTGCAAAAAATAGTATAATAATTTAGCACGAATAAATGTGCCGACTTACCGCGTTTCTTTAGCAGCGATCAGAAAATGACGAAACAAACTTCTCGCAATGGCTCGGTCGTGAACAATGCTAAGATAGCGATGTTTTGTCTGATACTTCTTTTGACTCTCCATAGAGGACGGAAACTTACTTAGAATTCAATTCGTGCCGACTACTGCACCGAGAAACCCATTTAGTTGAATCAAGCAAATATTTTATTTGACTATGGGCAAATACATTTTTCGATTCTAATAACCAAAGTTTGGTTCAGAAAACTAAACCTTGGTTCTTATAATAAAAAATTGATTTGCCTATAGTCAAACAAGAATTTAGTTGATTCAACTGAATGGGTTTCTCAATGTGACCGATATTATCGCGTAATGCCTTACTGTCCGTATCCTTTTTTAATATCGTATTATTATATAAATATCAACTCACTCAAAATCTTGTGCTCGTAGCTTCCACATAACTGATAAAATTATAATATTATTAGAAAGGGACAGGATAAACTAAAAAAATGTTAAAGTTTCGTGCCATAAAAAATTGTAAGAACTTTGAATATGGTTCGAACACCACTTTTCACAAGTAAATTAGTATATTCGAATGTCTGCAGAAGAGATTATGAAAATTGTTGACTAATTAGAAATTACAACGCAGAGAAGGAAATAGTACTGTGCTATTTATCTTTTATTTCGGCGTATCCCGACTTCTTAATATGATATCTAGCATTCCAGTATAATTTAGAGTTCAATACGAGAAATGAAGAAATCCGATCGGTTGTGCAAATTAAACGGATGAATTTTCGCGAGAAACATCGCCGTTGTGCGGGGCCGTACGCTAGTCGGACTTTGGGCGCCGCGTTCTACAATCCCGGTGAATTTCGCTGAAATTCGAAGGAACAATGGAGGCTTTCGAGATAAAACAGTATACAGGTTATTGTTCTCTTTTGACGCTGGGAAATTATTTAATATTCATTTATTTCGATATTCCGCCTGCGCGTGTAATCTTTATATTTAATTTCGCCATATTTCGACATTCCACTCACGTCCAATCGTCATTTTTAATTTTGATAAGCGAGGTATTGATTGTGTAAGTTAACTGCAAATAATGGCGCGTGCAATGAGCAAATATTAAGTAATGTAATAAAGATTAATGAGCGAGCACGGTGGAAAGCAATAAATTTACTATTTTCCAAATTTTAGTATTTTTTATTGAGAATTTCAATAGGATTTGGAAATTTCATTAAGGTGGTAAAGAAAAGAATTTTTGGGGCAGAGATAGCAGTTATTATGCAGAGGCATCAATAGAGGTTTAAATTAAATTATTTGTTCAAATTTAATTAAATTAAATTAAATTTAAGTTCCGTGTGATGACAATTCTAAACAAAAGTGCGAGAAAGGGAGCGACGTGAAGTTCGAAATAGAATTCACGGTCCAAGGGTCACTTCCCTTAAAGTAAAATAAATTTTGATCCAAGCTGTGAATTACTGTCAAACCTTCGGTGCCACTGTTTAATGCGATGTCGATCAATTTGTAATATTTTCATTATGTTCATTTACAAACAATACATCCGCCTTGAAACTCCGCCTCGGGGCTACTGCCGCGCAGGATCTCGGCGGAATATCCGCGGAGTCGCCCTTTGTCTATTTATCAACGGTCATTATTATAATCATACAATTTTCACACCCATATTTCTCCCCATTCCTCACACCCTTTTTTATCCTAGAGAGAGAGAGAGAGAGAGAGAGAGAGAGAGAGAGAGAAAAAGAGAGAAGGGGGTTCATGATAAATGATACGCTCGAAAGCAACGGGATAATTATGAGTGGCGTGTAACACAAGGCGCCGCCCATGCGCGCGTTGGTACACGGCGCCCCTCTCGACGCGGAAATAAAATCAGCGCGCGGTCCGCGCGTAAGACGCATAATCCAAGTCGGAGAAATTAAGATCGATCGGCGGCCGACCGAGTCAGGATGGGACCGCGTCATCCGCCGCGATTAGCGGACGTAGTAGCGTGTCTCTCTCTCGTCGTTGATAACGAGCTATCCGTGCATTACAGACCCGCGTCCTGCGAGTGTGCAGGATGCGCGCGAGTCGAGTGAATCGATCTCGTCAACGATACGCGACAATTTACGCGCGGTAGGCTCTCTCCTCCTCTCCTTTGGTGAGCCATCGAAAACCGTGACGCGATCTCCGATAATAACCGGTTTCGTGTTTCGATACCCTCGTTAGGCCGCCACTGAAAAACGGCGTTGGTGTGATCGAAAAGGAAGAGCGTGGGACGGGGAGAAAGGGGGGGGGGG